TTTAATTTGTTTAATTAAATATATCTAATTATATTCATTACAAATGGTCTTATTATGTACTCTAATTATTGTAAAAACATCTACAATTTGTGACTTTAAAAATTTTATTTGTTCCTTATTACATAATAAAGAAATTACGTATTTAATGTAGAAATTGCAAATTTTAATCTTTCATTAATATTAATACTTTGCTAAAATCACTTACAAGAAAACAAAAATAAGTGTTTTAAAATACACAATCCATTCATTTGCATATATTTATATAATACACATGAACACATGTACATATACATATTTACAGATTATCAGTAATATTTTCAGTTTTAATTTTTGTTAACATTCATTACAAATAAAAATATGTATTATCAACAGTATTCACAGATATGCTTGCTTGAAATTGTCATGAATTTTATGGTTGAATTAATCAGTTTTTTTACTTCCTCGTGTTTTCCAAGCTACTAAAAGATTCCAGGAAAAGAACAAAGAAAAAGAATGAACCTGGGAGGCCAAAAGAATAAATGCGTACCACAATAACCCATATGGCAGGCCCCAAAAAATTAATTTTTCTGAATTTTATAAATATTTCACATGAAAATATTTAATATTGAGATTTCCAATATAACAGTACATATTTTATTCATTTTCAAATAATAAATTATTAAAATAAATTGTTGTTTATTATTTTATGGATTCATACCTGCCAAATAAAAATTTCATCTGATTTGCCAACAGTTAAATATTTCCAAACATCCTTGAAGTAATATATAACTGCATAGAACAATGGACCATATCCTAATACAATAATACCTATCATATATTGTTGTAATGTTTTAATTCTGTTTCTTTTAATAGCAGACAATGCAAGGAAGCTTAACATCAAACTTATGCACCATATGTATTCCCACCACAGAGGCTGTAATAAAAACAATTAATTCAACAGGGGCAATAGATATTCTATATTTCATATTTAATATTATATACCTGAGGTACTTGTAACTCTTCAATTTCCAAAATGAATATGTCCAAATGATCTAAAATGTCGGCAGATAATTTGGCAAGCATAACGAAGAAAAGAAGATAATGAAAAAATATACAATACTTCAGTCTTGATTTATTTGTTGCGCTAAAAGGAATATATGTTTAATTCTAATAATAAATAAACAACAATTAAGAAACGATTTATTATCAATTTTTACTTTTATGTATGACCAATTTTAATCTTTTAAATATTACAATAAATAGTGTCAAGCAACATTTAATAGAAAGAAAATAACTGGTATTCTGTTTTTATTGTTTTAATTACCTGATTTGATAGTGACTAGCTATTTTTTGTCTATGATTAAAATCACTTCCATCTGTACCCAGAGCCTGGGACAGTGTAACTTTTGAAGCCATATTTCGAAATAATTGTGACTGAGATATAAGAATCACGTTCCTATTTTAATAACAAAAACTTATATACAAATAATTTTGGAGCTGTAAATCAAGATAAACTATTCGGTACTTCATTACCAATTATTTAACTATTTTTAAACTTTCAGAAGCTCTGTTAGTGGCCTCATGGGTCACGGTGCTCTGCAAATGTGTCACTTTTATTAAGTCACGTTTTCATTTCACAAAAATTGAGCGTCGTTTCTGTTGATTTTCATTTTAACTGATCTTGCAAGTGTAAATTTTAAATTGTAATGCATTGTTCCTTAGTTTTCACAAATATATTAATTAACTGATTATAAATTTTTGCTTGTATTTAACAATCCCCTAAATTAAATAGAATAAAATTTATCATAAATAATACTTCTATATCTATTAAATTGCATAATTAGTATTTTAATAAATTTGTAAAGTAAGGAGTACAAATTGATTTCTAAAAAATATGTATATTTCTTATTGCGATAAATTAGTAGATGATCCATAAAGTACATCATTTTGAGCATATGCATTGCAAAATGATATAACCTTAAACATTGTAATATTGAATTCGATTAAAATATTATAAAATATTAAAACAATGCTGCAATAACTATACTGTACAAAATATAATAATGATATGCGAAAACATTTGTATACATATTATCGTATAAACATTTATACACATTATATTAATTATTATACTAGTTGGTGACAATAATTTGACAGTAACTATGCTAATTGTTATATTAGTTGATGACAATAATTATTTAAAGATGTCTATCAGCATTTATAAATCCGTATATTTATATAGATATATAATGGAATAGAAAAATAAGTTAATAGCATTACAGTGTAAGATACATATGAACAAAAATTAGACAATATTATTCATTTCTTTCCAGTAAAATGAGTTTCAACAAAGTAAAAGAAGTCATTGAAGAAGGAGATGTGGTAATTTTATATTTAGGACCTAGTAACATGCATTCATTAGAAATAAAACCACAAATTGTCAACAAAAAAGGTAAAATGGTTGACAACATTTTTCAAACAATATATGGAGCACTCAAAGTTTTTTCCCTTGTTGGACAAAAGTATGGTACTAAGATACAACTTTCACGTGGATGGGGATATGTGCTGCAACCAACACCAGAACTTTGGACTTTAACAGTACCTCATAGAACACAAATTATATATAGCCCTGACATAAGTCTCATTATATATTTAATGGATTTATCACCAGGAAGCACAGTTATTGAAACAGGTTGAATAATTGTCATTGTCAATTATTTTTTAAATTTTTATGCCTGTTTTAGCTCTAAACTTAATATAAAATTTGTTTACATAGAATTCCTTTAATTTTAAATGTGATAGATTTTTAAATTATATTTAGTTATTACTGTTTAGGTACTGGAAGTGGCTCTCTTTCCCATACGCTTATTCGTGCAATTCGCCCTCATGGTCACCTTTATACATTTGATTTTCATGAGCAACGTGTAAATATTGCTCAAATAGAGTTTGAAAGACATGGTCTTTCTAAATTTGTAACTTTAAATCATAAAGATGTTTGTATGGAAGGTTTTGGAGAACAATTAGAGAATAAAATAGATGCAATTTTTTTGGATCTTCCACATCCATGGTTGGCCATTGACCATGCATTGTGTACTTTAAAAAAGTCAGGTACAAATGAGCTATATTTAATTTAATATAGTTCTTTTACATTTTTTTTACATAAAAATATATAAAAGCTGTTGGTTTCCTTAATTTAAGAAATTGATTATTTTAAACAATTTTCTTCTTGTATATAATCAAATTAATAATAATTAACACATAGTCATAAAATAATGTATATATAATTTATTGTAAATAAAACATGCAATTTTTTTTTATTTTTTTGTTGTTAGGTGGAAAACTTTGTTCTTTTTCTCCTTGCATTGAACAAGTTCAACGTACTTGTACAAAATTAGTGTCAAAAGGATTTACTGAGTTGAATACATATGAATGTTTGCAGAGAGAAGTAAATGTACAATACAGAAATCTTTCTATATTAGATTTAGAATGCTTGAAATATGAGGTATGCATAACAAATATAATACATAGGTTTCATATAATTTTGATAAAATGTAAATGAGTATCTTTTTATTATGTATTATTCCTTTCTTAATTTTTGTAAAAAAATAATGTAAATATCATGATAAGTCAAATGGCACCTGCTTAGTTTAATTTTTATGTTTAAAATGATATTAATGCTTAACAGTAATACGATATTTTTAACTATATTTTAGCATGTAAACAAAGATATGGCACAACAAAGTGAAAATGAAAAACAAGAACAAACAAAACTACTTACTGTAACGCATGCTCGATCTTTACCTGGTCATACAGGATTTATTACAATTGCTACATTACCTCCAATTTATGCACGAAAGTTAGATATAAGTTCACAGTCTGAGAAAATTACAGTCAAAGACTAAGAAAATCTTAAATTAATGCAAAAAAATCACAAAATGTTTGTTCATTATATCGCTTTAGAATCTAGTTTGCACAATACAGTTTCTGTTTGCGATAATGAAAGCAGAATAAAACTAACAAACAACGATCAGATCTTATTCTTATTTGTATACAGAATGATCTTATTCAAAATGTTGAATATTTTATGTTTCTGCTTTGTTAGGATTCCAAGATAAATAATCGACCCGTGTAGCAGCCTGATATTCTTTTACCAAATATTCAACAACTTCTCTAGAGTTATCTAACTCGTCCAAATTATCTTCGAACATTTTTTCTTTGCGGAACTGCTCTAAAAATGCTTCACGTTTTCGTAATTTATCATATTGTTGTAAGGCACGGTCAAATAACTGAAAAATTCAATACAATAGTTATTTAAGAAGGATATTTTGTAAAGGATTGAAAATTATTATTAAACATTATACATTTAGTAAACAATTTTTAAAAATAAAATCAATAAACAATTTGGAAAATGGAAAATGTTGAATTTAATAAAAAATTAATATAAATAAATTTATTAGGTGAAAATGATAATAATGTAGTAATTTTATATTTTTTAACATAAAAATATTTTTACAACTTACCGATGATATATTAGTGTGATTAGCTAACATTAAACCAGATACTCGATGCGTACTTTGAATGTAGGGTGATTTTCTTGAAAGAGCTACTTGTATGCTGGCGGGACCCCAAGGTATAAATTGCGCAAGTTTTCTTTCTCTAATTCTTTGTAAAGATTTGTGAACTTGGGTTGGGTCTACTTCACCCTGAAACATTGCATTTGTAAAATTGTAATCTTATGCACATTTACTTTAATTGATATAAAACTTACTTGAATGATATTTAAAATAGATATATAGCAATGAGATGCATTTCTATCCAATGCTGTAGAAACCATCATATTTTTTGGTTGCAGTAAACGTCGCATTACATCTAATACAGAAGTTTTTCTTACAGAAGCTCCCTATCATTTACAAGAAATAAATTAGTTTAAAAACGGAAGTTAATCGAACTATTTTATTAAGTATATATTCTTTAAATAAATTTTTTAAATAAACATAAAACAAAATTACTTTTCGTTTTATGAAACCAATACTTACTTCTTGATCTGTAGTGAGAGGAGTATAACCAGTCATAAGGAAATGTAAACGTGGTGTTGGAATTAATGGGGCAATTAAACCAACTAGATCATTGTTCATATAAGAAGGGTACCTAGTGTTATAACATGCGAACTAATTAAAAGTGAACTAACTTCTTATATTTTATAAATTTATATAACTTCTCTAATAAAATAGATATAAACGATACATTACCGAAGTGTGGTGGTACTAACAGACATTATTGTGGAAACAAGCTTATTAATTTGTGTAAAACTAGGATTTTGAATGTGAAGTCTATCTGATGCTATTCTATTAAGTGCTGTATTGTCTAAAACAACAACACAATCAGCACATTGTGTTAATCTTTTTAAAGTTAATAAAGAGTTGTATGGCTGTACTACAACATCACTGAAAAGAATTTTCTTATAATTAATTGTTATTAAAAATATAATTTTGTTTTAATTACTACAATACAGTTTTGTTACATGATACATACCTTATTTCATCTTGATTTGGGAAAACGCTATATGTTTCAATCAATTTTTTTGGGAACCTATCTGCAAGAGATTCAAGCATAAATGAACCCATTCCTGAACCTGTACCACCTGCAATGGAATGGCACAAAACAAATCCCTGTAAATGAAAATATAACAAATAATTCAAGTATAAACAATACCATATAAAATCTAAAATACTTTTACCTCTAAACTATCACTTCCATCTGCCTCTCTATCCAAAATATCAAAAATTTCTTCTTGAAGTTTCTCTCCTTGATGATAACCAG